TTACCTCATTATAGGTGAAAGCACGTTATATCGAACTTGCTTTGATCTGCCGGAGTGCGCAGCCCCGCCCCCCCGAGCACTGCTTTACCGTGTTATATCCGAATTTGTATTATATCGGGGTAGAGGTGTAGTTCCAGAGCGCCTATAGCTCAGGCTCAGAGAGGGAGTAGATGCCACCAAAATGGATCTCGGCTCCCAGCTAAAGGTTAATGGGGCAAAGTGTCTACATTCTTCTTACTGAGTGTATCCACAAATTCCTGGTATTTAACAGGTATCACAGAAGTAGTAGGTGGTGACACAGGGGGTTCTGAGATTCCCTGTGACCTAACAGCCTCAGACTTACATTCTCTGAGGAGGCAGACTAAACCACAGTGGGCTTTTGGCCCATAGCTGGGCTTTGGGAGACAAGATTGCCGACAATGCAGGTATGACAGATTTCTGTTATCAATTTGCCCAGGGTATCAGGTGACCAGGTTGAGGCCACAGGATTTTTTGGGGAGGAGATGGAGGAGCACACCAAGGTCTAAATTTTAAAGCTTTATTAATAAAATAATAAAACAACAGCAGAGAGTGATGGGTGTTTCCCATGTCACTCAGAGGAAGGAAGAAAGCATTAGTGCCCCAAGCCCTAACCCACTTTTATACTCACACACGCTCTACCTGAGGCTGGCCAAGCCTGGGTGTAACGTAAGAAGAAGAGGGCGAAGGGTGGACGGGAGTTCTGTCCTGGGCCCAGGTTGTCCAGGGTTCGCTGTAATCTCTGAATTGCTCCAGCTCTCAGAAGAGTTATTAAGTCCAGGGTTTCTTTGGGGGTGTTTCATTCCGCGATATGTGTTTCTGGTGTTCTTTGTACCTGTCAAAACCGGCTCTCTATGGTCTCCTTAACTTTTCCAAAACACACCGGCTAGACTTTGTTGTCCTCTTTGTTTTCCTCTGTGCTGGCCTTTGCTTGGCCTTTACTTGTTTTGCTCGTTATGGGCTGCCTCTTTAGGTCTGTTCAGCTGAATTTCATCTCCCTTTCTTACGGCCAGGTGGTGAATTCTGGGCCCCCCTCTTTCTTGGCAGGCAGCTGAGAATCAGATGTGTGTTGTGGCCTTGAGCGGGCTGGAGTCAGCATCTTATTTTTGGGCCTAGCAGGAGCGTGGAGTTAACCCGTTTTTTGCTTTCTTCCTTCTTCCCCCCTCTGGTGTCTCGCGACCTGCAAAACAATTTTTTATTCCACCCTCATTTACACCTTTGACCCTTCCCCGAAATGCCTTGCGATGCCTGCAACCGCATTAGCTACATACAATGCTGATCTGCCTCCCCATGGGACCCCCTGATGGAGGGAATCCTTGGGCTTGTGACACAGGGAGTTGAAATGTACTGTGCGTGCCTGCTAACAGACATGCAAATTGTGAATAACAAGCCAGCTAGGCCACACAGAGAATAACCAGAGAGAGTGGGGCTTGGATGAGCCCAAACTGAAGGGTTTTTTGTTGACCCTGGAGGATGGTCACCTCCAAGGGGGCAGTCTGGTGGGGCCCAACAAGAGGAGTGACCCATCAACAGAGTCCACCAAGTCAGGAGAGCTTTTTTGCTGGATGGCAATCATGTGCGCTTGCACAAACTCCAAGTCCATTAAATTACCGGAGGCACCCAAAACCACCAGTGCTTCCAGGTGGACCTGAGACATGGTGGGGTATAGAAGTTGGAGGGAAAGTCAGAGATGTGTTGGGTTCTGGTTAACCAATGCTAGAGTACCAGCAGACAAATCTCAAAATTGGATACTGCAGTTAGGAGAAGGAGAAGAATACCAACCCAGCCCAGTCCCCTCTAATGGGCCTGGGACTTGATGTTTTCCCAGCCGGGACGCAGGTCAAGCCTTTGCGAGACGGCCCGATGAAAAGCGTCCAGGTTCTCCACAGAACAGGCATCAATTTTTCTCAGCATCAGAAAGCCAGGGCTGATTTACATGGGCTCAGTCTCGGGGGCAAAGCCAGTTGGTGAGCTGGGATCTGGGAAACCGGCAATGCACAGGAGGCTAAGTTTCGCTCTCAGCAGCACTCTGTCAGACAGTTATCAATCTTAATACACAGCTCAATTAGATCATCTAGGCCAGGTGGGGACAACATCTGCACCAGCTAGTCTTTGATTGCTTCATGGAGGCCAAGCCAGAAGTCATAATGCTGCGCAGCCTCCTTCCACTCAGTGTCCACTACCAGGTGTCGAAATTCTGCAGCGAATTTGGCAAGAGATAAGCGTGCCCCTGCCATGATGCTTCAAGCACAGCCTTTGCTGTGCATGTGCAGTTCAGGTCATCAAAGATTACCGCCAGAGTTGCACAAAGTTTCCAGGACCAGGAGTGGGCTAGATTTCTCCTGCAGGGAGCCCTGACCAGGGCCTTCCCAGTCAGCAAGATGATGGTAAGTCCTAGTTGGGCTTGGTTGGTGGGGAATGCTTGTGGTTACAAAAGAAACAGAAGTCGACCCTGATGTAGGACTCCACAAAATTTGCCACGGTCACTGTTGAATTTATGTGGCAGTGGAATCTTTGGTTCGGGGTTGGAGCTGTCGGGCAGCAACGTGACCCTACAAGTTTTGTACAGTGCACACCATTTCCGACAGGGAGATGTTTGCTTTGGTGAGACCCAGGCCCGCAGAGAATGGGGCCCCTTCTCTCCTGATGGGTTCCTTTTGGTAGGCTGCTTAAACTGTTAGGGACTGGGACGAGGATGGTCAGGCCTACCGGGCAGAGCAGGAGTCAGTAGCCAGGTGCCAAAACCAAGAGTCACAGCTGGAGTCAGAGCCAAGGGTCAGAACCAGAGTCAGACACCAGATCCTGGATCCAAAGTCAGGAATCAGAGTAGAGGTTCGGAACAGGGTCACCTGGAGTGAGGCACGGCAGGAGTGGGACTGGGACCAGGACCAAGACGAGCACAGGTGGGAACAAGCAGGTGCAGGAACTATCGTAGATGTGGGCAAATGCTTTGAGCAGCCAGTACCCTGCTGCTGATCTTAAGAGCAGATCTGCTAATCCCCTCAGCCAATCAGGTAGCTCAACTGGGGCCCAGCTGCGCTTGTTAGACTGCCTGCGGGTTAAGCTAGCAGGTAAGCAGACTAGCTGCTGGTCCTTGCTCCCCCTCACTCTGCAGATGCTATTCTAGCCTGCTGCAGTTTGTATGCCTCTCCTCCTCCCTTTGACCACTCAGGCCCTGATCCAGCAAAGCACTTACACATGTGCTTAATTTTACAGATGTGAGTTGTCCCATTCAATGTCAATGGGGCTACGCTTGTGTTTAAAATTAAGTACAAGTTTAAATGCTTTGCTGGATCAATGCTTTAGACTGTAAATTCTTCAGGACATGAACTTGTGTTTTTATGTCTGTAAACTGTCTAGGACACATCATTTTTCATCCTTAATGTGATGAAGTATAGCACAGCCATGCTAGCCCCCTTTGCTGTGGAGAAATCAAAAAGCAGATTTCACAGCATCAAGACTGAAGGAATCAGCATCCACTTTTTTTTTTTTTTTTTTTGACTGTCTAGTTGCAGAATACCATTATCAATTCTGGGGAACAGAAATGGAAGATGCACGTAATAAAACAAACACACCGCGCAACTTAGAAATACTGTACTAATGCAAAAGAAACATTCAAGTTATAAATACTCTGTGAAATGAGTGGTCATTATTAAGTGTGATATAGAAAGAAAAGACCAGATTAAATCCGTGTGATTCCATAAATTTGGTCCAGTAGATCTACAGAACACATGGTAGCCAGAGTTAAATCCTGCATTAACTTTATACCTGTCCGTTAGATGTCAATGCTATTTATACACATTGTCTTACTAAATCTGTACTAGACAAGTTGGCTATATAGTAAATGCACTATAAATAGGACACACATTATAAACTTAATGTAGGTATCAATGTGCCAAGATTTTATGCCAACAGAGTTGATTGCTGGTGGCCTTTAAAATACAACAGAACCCTATTTTGCAAATTTCTAAATAATATATATGCTGTGTATCCATTCAGCCAAATGAACATTAATAAATCATGTTCTGCCTCCAACCAGACATTTCAGGTAACCTCCACCCACTCACCTCCTCTCCTGTGTGAAGAAAATAAAGAGGAAGCACCACGGAATGTCAATCACACTGCAGATCCCTCCAGCACATGCCACTACCTATAATAAAGAAAGGAACGTGTCATGGTAGTGATCACCCTCTATCATTAGAGGTTTAAAATAATCTCAGCTGCAACAGATGCAGACTCCACCTAACAGGCAGCAGCATGTGGAGAGCTCATGCCAGAACCTGCCCTTCCCAGATGGCATTACAGTGGACTGCATCTTTATCCTCATTCCTTTGCTGGCTCCCAAATAGCATCTCCTCCTATTCCTGGACAGGCAATATGTGATCTTGCCCCAGGTTGCTAATTCTGGCAAGGTTTAATTTATTGATCTATTTATGAACTGAAAGCTAACTTGACCTCCCTCCAGGGAAAACACACAGGAAACATGGCAAGGTCGCATTCATAGAACTGCCTTCAAATCATTTGTTGAAGATGCTAGTTTTTGCACCTAACCAAAACAGGAAAAGGGGTCATGTTCTCAGTCCAGCACAACCCAACACCATCCACCAAGAGACCTTGTGCCTTTATGATGGTTCTTGTCTTCCCCAGCCCCAATAGTAGTATGGTCCTGGAGCCCATTCCTATACCTGAATGGACCCCAGCCCTCCCGCACCATTATTTTACACCCATAATCCCTACAGATTTCTATAGGGGCAGTCCCCAAAACAGTGGCTGCCTCTGGATACCCCCTTTTGCATCCACAGAGCCTCAACAGCACATGTCCCATACAGAACAGTTTCCCCAGTCTTTGGGACCAGCAAGGAGCTTGCTGTGAAGTCATTGCATCTCTGCCATCACTGCTGACATGAGTTTGGGGGCAGAGGGAAGTATGTGACTGTATTTTCCTTAGAACAATGATCCATCAAGTCTAATATCTTGACTCTGACAGTATCCAATACCCAAGGAACCACAGAGAAGGTCTCCTCATTCACCTAAGAAAGGAACAGTTTGCTTCCAAAATATGCAGGCAGCTCACAATCATTCACAAAGTAAATTTGTATCATCTGAAATCACCAGAATATAAACAATAGCTTCTTTAATACGAATAAAGAGCACCTATAACTCGATTTTTTTCTTTTGCATGATACATTCTAGAGTGATAGTAGTAAGTTCATAATTAAGGCTGTTACCAGCTTGTAAATCATTACAAGTCAGATTTTGGCCCTCCTGCCTCCAACATCATAAAAACGGTTTAAGATCTAACAAGCGATAGGCCCAATCTTGATCTGCACAACCAAAGGTTAGAGGTTCAGGCATGAAAGAGTTTAAAATCTGGACTTGAGCCTGGATCTGAATTTGCAACTCAGACCCATCTCTATTTATGCCCCCCCACCCGCCACCTCAACACATAAGCTTATTATACTCTCTACCAAGAATAATATAAAGCAAAAAGCTTTAAAGTTTAAACACAATTACATCCTTGTTGACCTCATCAATAAAAGACAAAGAACAGTAATAGGTTTTGGAATTTATCTAGTTATTGTGGCATAATTGCTACATAAAACTTCAATTTATGGCACAGTAAATGTCCAACTAAAAAAATTAACTTGTCTGTAGCGTGTTTGGCTTCTTCAGGTTTACAAAGCACAGCCTTAGCTTTGTGAATGCATTAAGAATTGTACTATACATTTCTGCATAGCTACAAAACTTGCTTTAATTATTTGGTTATTAAGCTAGCAAGAAGAATATCTAAGGTGCCAATCACTGTGGTACATAGACTCATAGACTCATAGACTTTAAGGTCAGAAGGGACCATTATGATCATATACTCCTGTTTTATGAATTAGTATTACTACTATTCTTTAGAATCTGTATTACAGTAGCACCTTGAGGCCCCCTTTCTGCGAGGTCTTTTCTCTCTGTTTTTGCCAGCTTTACAATCTAAATAGACAAAGAGAATATTATTATAACCATTTTTGAAATGGAGAACTAAGGCACAGAAATATTAAGTGACTTGCCCAAGGTCAAAAAGTAAGTTTGTGACAGAGCCAGGAATTAAACCCAGGTCTTCTAAGCACCACTCCAGTTCCTTAACCACAAGAGCATCCTTATTCTTAAATTTTAGCAATTCTACCTGCTGCATACAAAAACAACATACCTGCTCACCAACTTAAACAAGAAAAACGCTACTTTGAGCACCCAATTTCAGGCACCACCAATAAAATCCAGTAAATAAAAGTATGTTTTTAAGGCTGACTGCCCAATGTCAGATCAGGATCAGTTCAGAGCTGTCAGAAGCTGTTACAAATGAAAAAAATTATTTGAACACACAATGTAGCCTGACAGACAATAAATCAAAAAGTGAAAGTGACATCCGCAAATTCTGCCAGAGGGTACTGGGTGGTGTCCATCCATTTTCAAAATTTTTTGCAGAGGAAAAGAAAATAAATCAGAATCACTTTGTTTTCCTCTTTACCTGATCCATGATAGACTAAGAGACTCATGCTAACCCCTGCTCCTCCCCCACCAACACATTCGGTACTTATTAGTGACTATGTGTATTTCCTCCTGCTATCCCAAGAAAAGGAAATTACGTAAAGAAAATCGTCACACTATTTAACAGATGCTAGCCACAGTGGAATGTTAGCTTTATCCAACCCAGCCACAGGTTTCTTACTACTCCTGACCACAGCTCTACAGCCAGCTCTCTGAAGTCAGACTCCTGCACCCACATGGAGCCCCATCAGGGCCTATCAATAGGGATCCATGCATGCGCTGGGGCCACCCACACAGAACTCATTGCAGTGTTCAGGCCTGTGATGTCAGGTTCAACAGAGGTAGCTCTGCAGTTCTGGATATGTTCATATACATGCATGTATTAAAGCTGCCACTATTTTCCATATGAATGCCACCAGCAGGTTCCCACAGCAGGACTGTAACACACTGCTGTGTCAACAGCAACGCAGGCTTCTATAACATGTCAAAGCTACACTGGCTATGACTAAGGCCTTGGCTACACTTGCGAGTTACAGCGCTGTAAAGCCGCCCCCAGCGCTGTAACTCACTCCCGTCCACACTGGCAAGGCATTTGCAGCGCTGTATCTCCGTGGTCGCAGCACTGCTTGTACTCCACGTCCCCGAGAGGAATAGCGAGTATTGCGCTGCCACTGCAGCGCTGCGGCGCCAGTGTGGCCACCCAATGCGCTGTGAATGGCCTCCAGAATTATTCGGCAGTATCCCACAATGCCTGTTCTAGCCACTCGGGTCATCAGTTCAAACTCTACTGCCCTGGCCTCAGGTAACCAACCATGTGACCCACCCTTTACATTCCCCGGGAATTTAAAAAATCCCCTTCCTGTTTGCTCAGCCCGGCGTGGTGTGGAGTGCTATCAGCGAATCTTTCCAGGTGACCATGCCTCCACGCACCAAGCAA